TCGGTTCATACCATAACCGACGTAGTAAACCCATACTCGCTTGAGCGACGAGTGTTCTCGCTTGAGCGACGAAAGCTTCAAACAAAGGGGACTCTCGGGTTCCAACTCGCTTGAGCGAAGAGTGTACTCGCTTAAGCGACGAAAGCTTCAAACAAAGGGGACTCTCGGGTTCCATCTCGCTTGAGCGACGAGTGTACTCGCTTAAGCGACGAAAGATTCAAAAAAAGGGGACTCTCGGGTTCCATATCGCTTGAGCGACGACTGTACTCGCTTAAGCGGCGAAAGCTTCAAACAAAGGGTATCCTCGGTTCTATTTCGCTTGAGCGACGAGTGTACTCGCTTGAGCGACGAGTGTACTCGCTTGAGCGACGAGTGCTTCAAACAAGGGGACTCTCGGTTCTATTTCGCTTGAGCGACGACTGTACTTGCTTGAGCGACGAGTGTTCACTTTCAACGTCGGGTATGAATAACCGACGTTGAAAGCCTAAACTATCAACGTCGGGTATAAATAACCAACGTTGAAAGTTTATACTTTCAACGTCGCCTCATACAACGTCGGTTGTATAACCGATGTTGAAAGCCTTATTTAACCGACGTTGAAATGCATATCTGTAGCAGTGAATCCAAGCGGCTTTAGATCATGGGGTCACTAAGCTCAAAATATTCGGTGATTCATCCCTCGTCATCTATCAACTTAAAGGTGAATGGGAAACCCGAAACTCAAAATTAATCCCATATCTAGAGTACATCCACGAGCTGGTCTCGAGAATGGAAAGCGTCACTTTCCAGTACATCCCTAGGGAGGACAACCAAATTGCTGACGCCCTCGCCACGCTATCATCCATGTTTGCCCTGGACCAGGAACACGAGATGCCAATCATTCAAGTCAAACTGCATGATAAACAAGATTTCTGCATGGCAATAAATGGCGAGCGCGATCAAAACCCCTGGTACCATGACATTAAGCGGTACCACATGGAGGGCGAATACCCCGAAGGAATTAGTGACAATGACAAGCGGACCATTCGCAAAAGGGCCGTAGGGTTCACGTTGATTGAAGGAACCCTCTACAAAAAGAGCCCCGATTCCACCCTCCTAAGGTGTGTGGACCAAGAGGAAGCCCAAACATTGATAAAAGAAATCCACAAAGGAGCTTTCGGGACCCATGCACCTGGGCATGTCATGACAAAGAAAATCCTCAGGGCAGGGTACTATTGGTCCACGATGGAAGCTGATTGTCACCAATATGCCAAGAAATGTCACAAGTGCCAAGTTTACGCCGATAATATTCATGTGCCACCCGCACCTCTCAGTAACCTGGCTACACCATGGCCATTTTCTATGTGGGGCATGGACGTCATCGGACCCATTGAACCCAAAGCGTCTAACGGCCATCGCTTCATATTGGTGGCAATCGACTATTTCACCAAGTGGGTTGAGGCAGCATCGTATGCACATGTAACCCGGAAAGTGGTGACCACCTTCATCAAGAAAAACATTATATGTCGGTATGGCATCCCTCATAGGCTCATTACTGATAATGGGACCAATCTCAATAATAAGATGATGGAGGAATTATGCCAAGATTTCAAAATCCAGCACCACAATTCCTCTCCGTACCAACCAAAAATGAACGGTGCAGTAGAGGCAGCCAATAAAAATATCAAGAAAATCATCCAGAAAATGGTGGTCACCTACAAAGAATGGCATGAAACGCTCCCCTTTGCCTTGCATGGTTACCGAACGTCGGTACGAACCTCCACGGGGGCTACCCCGTTTTCCCTCGTATATGGAACAGAGGTCGTGTTACCAATAGAAGTCGAAATACCCTCCCTGCGAGTTGTCATGGAAGCCAAATTAACAGAGGCTGAATGGGTCCAAAACCGGTACGATCAATTGAACCTAATCGAAGAAAAACGATTGGACGCCATATGTCGGGGGCAGGCTTACCAAAGGAAAATCAAGAAAGCCTACGACAAGAAGGTCAATCCCCGCACCTTCCAAGAAGGAGATCTAGTAGTAAAGAAATTGCTTCCAGCCCAAAAAGACAAGATTGGGAAATGGGCAGCGAACTACGAAGGACCCTTTGTGGTCAAGCGAGCCTTCTCAGGGGGAGCCCTTATCCTCACCAATATGGATGGAGAAGAGCTCCGGTATCCTATCAACTCAGATGCGGTGAAAAAATATTATGCCTAAAGACATTGCTCATGACCCGTCAAGATGAAAACTCGCAAAGAGCGTCCTGAACAAAAGATAGGGCCTACATACCTCGCTAGGACACGTCCTCGGCAAAAATTAGAGGTTCACAAAAAAAAAATGATGATGAAAATAGAGCAATGATTACCTTAGCCGAAAACTGCAAAGGCGACTAAGGTAATATCTCCACAATAGCAAGCAGACTTCGCATGGTCTTCACTCCAGAATCAAGCATCTCAACTGAAGGGACCAGGAGAAACGGGGAAACAGAAATCACAGACATGATTGTGGCACCCTCATACAGTTTAGCCAACCTTGGCCAGCCATGCTTACAAATTCTTTTGTAAACCCCCGTGTAAAAATAAACCATATGGTTATATCAATAAAATTGTCTTTTTCTTCTCTCTACCTACCTGTGTAAATGCCTCTATATTAATGAAACATGAGTATGCATAAAACAAGCAATTCGAGAAAGCATAAAAATAAAAGACGAACACCACCAACCAGGGCCGTCCCAAGTAAAAAGTACAGGGTAGCCTGCTAGATTGAAAACCCGCAAAGGGCGGTCTAGGCAAAAGATAAGGCTTCCGTAAAAGAGGAAAAAGCCCATCAAAATATCTCAAGCAAAAGAATCAAAACCCGCTAGATCGAAAACCCGCAAAGGGCAGTCTAGGCAAAAAATAGGGTCAAAACAAAAAGTACAAAAAAGAATAGTCACGAGAGAACAAAAAGAAGGAAAGTACCGGTCACCTTCTAAATGTCCTCAACTAAAATAAAACTGCATCAGACAGCATCCACACACAAATAGTCACACAAAAATGACTTTGTCAAAAGTAAAATAAACAAAAGTACATAGACAAATAAAAGACATTCATGCCAAGAAGATCATCTTCATGTTTGCATAAAGGCATCCCGGTACAATTTTGTGCATCTTTTTGTTATCCTTTCCAAAGGTCAGCGTAACAAAAAAGGAAAAAACTAAGAGTAAAAAGACGTACGCTCAAGAAAGAGCCAAAATCCTAAGATCGCGAGAAAAAAGAGATAAAACCGCGAGAAAAAGGCAGGATTAAGCCATCACACCAACCAACAAAGTTTCGACTACCAAACAAGAGTCAAGATCCATCCGACCAACCAGCCAGGATCGGATGATCACTACCAAAAGAACAAAAACAAAGGATCCCCGGTAATCAACAAGGCTGGATGAACACCAACAAAATCCCCGGCGTGACCTGGATGACTATTCAAGAAATCCGAAAAGCAACACTCTCCAGAGAGCTGCGCCTGATCTGCGTTCGAGCCGGATCAGTAAGTCGCATTACCACCCTGATGGGGGGTTCATACCCATCCAGTCCCGCACAACGGACTGCAACCACCAGCCTGATGGGGGATTCATACCCATCAACCGAAGGATCGGCTCCGTCAGAAGGAGTTCCTGAGGTCTTACCACGTGTTCACCAAAGGGATCGGCTACGTCAGAAGTAGTATCTCGGAAGTGCACGAACACCAAAGTTTTTCCCAGAAGATCAACCGCCGCAAGACGGAACGTCTGAAGGGCAACCGGGCAAGAGGGTCAACTCCTTTACCCCCCAGTCGATCATCCTGGCACAGAAGGCCAGCAGTCGACTGGACGGGTAAAGGGGGGGCAGCTGTAGACCCCAAATCTTGCCCGGCCTCCAAATAAAGACCAGAAGACCTCCTATTTGAAGATGGACAAGCCTAACAAGCCACTAGGAGAGACTATTAGGCCCCATACTAGGATAGGAGGGAGTTTCTGTACCAAAAAATAAGTTTTCTCGCCTTGAAGGGGACGAGACCGCCTTCTGGACAACCCAGACCGCCGTCTCGCCTCACGCAAGTGGCGAGACCGCCGTCTCGCTTGACGAGACGGCGGTCTCGCCACCTGCGAAGGACGAGACGGCGGTCTCGTTCACCCAGATGGCGGTCTCGCCATTTTGACAGGTCGAGACGGCGGTCTCGTTGGACGAGACAGCGGTCTCGACCCTGTCAGACGAGACCGGCGGTCTCGCCACCTGACAGCGCGAAAACCTATAAATAGGGGCTCTCCCCCCCTCATTTCCACACACCACAGCTGCATAGCTCTCCCTTCTCTCTAAAAACTTCTCTCTAGAATCCCTCCGACGCATTTCCGGAGCTTCTGAGTGCTTGCAAGAGTGATTTTCGGCATTCGAGAGGTTTTCCGACGTCTTGTAGAGTGAAGGGCTGCCATAAAGCACCCTATTTTTTTTAGAGAATTAATATAAAAAGCGTGCTTCGGAGGTTCAAATTCTCTCCTTCCACCTTTACCGTTTTTATCTTAAATTATGCAATAGATAGTAGGGCCATGTAGTCATACTTTTAAATTCCGCAGAATAAAAAGGGCAAAAGTGTATTTTTCTAGTTTATCAATAAAATAAGACGGCCTGTCATAGGGAACCCGAAAGGGGCGTCGTAAAGGGACTAATACTCCCTTTGCACGTAACCAACTCCCTTACCCAACTCTGGTTCTAATGACCAAAGTTGGTTTTCGAAAACCAACGCCTTTTAAAACCCCTTTTCCGATGTTTCCGATAAAAACATCGGTGGCGACTCCATAGAACCCTAAATAAATAAGTCCTTGGGTTAGCCCGGTTATCGGACAACCCAAGGACACTTTTCGAAAACCTCGCCCCTAGGTTAGCCCGGTTATCGGACAACCTAAAGGCGTTGTAACCATCCATAAAAAACGCGAAAATAAGAGAGGGTCAAAAATAACCATCGCGTCGCTACGACCGCGCCCCCTTTTCGGGGAGGCGGCGACAATTATCATGGATGGAGAAGAAGTCAAGGAAGAAGAAGAAGTCATGGACGGAGAAGATGTTATGGAAGGAGAAGATGGTTTGGATGGAGAAGAAGTTAGGGAAGGAGAAGAGGTTAGGGAAAGAGAGGAAGCTAAAGAAGGAGAAGAAGTTAAGGATGGAGAAGAAGTTTGGGATGGAGAAGAAGTTTGGAATGGAGAAGAAATCAAGGAGGAAGAAGAAGCTAAGGAAGGAGAAGAAGTTATGGATGGAGTGTAAGTTAAGGATGGAGAAGAAATTTGGGATGTAGATGAAGTTAAGGATGGAGAAGAAGTTAGGGAAGGAGAAGAAGTTAAGGATGGGGCAATAGTTTGGGATGGGGAAGAAGTGAAGGAAGGAGAAGAAGTTAGGGAGGAAGAAGAAGAAGAAGTTTTGGATGGAGAAGAAGTCAAGGATAAAGAAGAAATTATGGATGGGGAAGAAGTTAAGGAGGGAGAGATGGTTATCATGGATGGAGAAGAAGTCAAGGAAGGAGAAGAAGTCAAGGAAGGAGAAGAAGTCATGGACGGAGAAGATGTTATGGAAGGAGAAGATGGTTTGGATGGAGAAGAAGTTAGGGAAGGAGAAGAAGTTAGGGAAAGAGAGGAAGTTAAAGAAGGAGAAGAAGTTAAGGATGGAGAAGAAGTTTGGGATGGAGAAGATGTTTGGAATGGAGAAGAAATCAAGGAGGAAGAAGAAGCTAAGGAAGGAGAAAAAGTTATGGATGGAGTGTAAGTTAAGGATGGAGAAGAAATTTGGGATGTAGATGAAGTTAAGGAAGGAGAAGAAGAAGTAAAGGATGGAGAAGAAGGTAGGGAAGGAGAAGAAGTTAAGGATGGGGAAATAGTTTGGGATGGGGAAGAAGTGAAGGAAGGAGAAGAAGTTAGGGAGGAAGAAGAAGAAGAAGTTTTGGATGGAGAAGAAGTCAAGGATAAAGAAGAAATTATGGATGGGGAAGAAGTTAAGGAGGGAGAGATGATTATCATGGATGGAGAAGAAGTCTTCGACGGAGAAGATGTTATGGAAGGAGAAGATGGTTTGGATGGAGAAGAAGTTAGGGAAGGAGAAGAAGTTAGGGAAAGAGAGGAAGCTAAAGAAGGAGAAGAAGTTAAGGATGGAGAAGAAGTTTGGGATGGAGAAGAAGTTTGGAATCGAGAAGAAATCAAGGAGGAAGAAGAAGCTAAGGAAGGAGAAGAAGTTATGGCTGGAGTGTAAGTTAAGGATGGAGAAGAAATTTGGGATGTAGATGAAGTTAAGGAAGGAGAAGAAGAAGTTAAGAATGGAGAAGAAGTTAGGGAAGGAGAAGAAGTTAAGGATGGAGAAATAGTTTGGGATGGGGAAGAAGTGAAGGAAGGAGAAGAAGTTAGGGAGGAAGAAGAAGAAGAAGTTTTGGATGGAGAAGAAGTCAAGGATAAAGAAGAAATTATGGATGGGGAAGAAGTTAAGGAGGGAGAGATGATTATCATGGATGGAGAAAAAGTCAAGGAAGGAGAAGAAATCATGGACGGAGAAGATGTTATGGAAGGAGAAGATGGTTTGGATGGAGAAGAAGTTAGGGAAGGAGAAGAAGTTAGGGAAAGAGAGGAAGTTAAAGAAGGAGAAGAAGTTAAGGATGGAGAAGAAGTTTGGGATGGAGAAGAAGTTTGGAATGAAGAAGAAATCAAGGAGGAAGAAGAAGCTAACGAAGGAGAAGAAGTTATGGATGGAGTGCAAGTTAAGGATGGAGAAGAAATTTGGGATGTAGATGAAGTTAAGGAAGGAGAAGAAGAAGTTAAGGACGGAGAAGAAGTTAGGGAAGGAGAAGAAGTTAAGGATGGGGAAATAGTTTGGGATGGGGAAGAAGTGAAGGAAGGAGAAGAAGTTAGGGAGGAAGAAGAAGAAGAAGTTTTGGATGGAGAAGAAGTCAAGGATAAAGAAGAAGTTATGGATGGGGAAGAAGTTAAGGAGGGAGAGATGATTATCATGGATGGAGAAAAAGTCAAGGAAGGAGAAGAAGTCATGGACGGAGAAGATGTTATGGAAGGAGAAGGTGGTTTGGATGGAGAAGAAGTTAGGGAAGGAGAAGAAGTTAGGGAAAGAGAGGAAGTTAAAGAAGGAGAAGAAGTTAAGGATGGAGAAGAAGTTTGGAATGAAAAAGAAATCAAGGAGGAAGAAGAAGCTAACGAAGGAGAAGAAGTTATGGATGGAGTGTAAGTTAAGGATGGAGAAGAAATTTGGGATGTAGATGAAGTTAAGGAATAAGAAGAAGAAGTTAAGGATGGAGAAGAAGTTAGGGAAGGAGAAGAAGTTAAGGATGGGGAAATAGTTTGGGATGGGGAAGAAGTGAAGGAAGGAGAAGAAGTTAGGGAGGAAGAAGAAGAAGAAGTTTTGGATGGAGAAGAAGTCAAGGATAAAGAAGAAATTATGGATGGGGAAGAAGTTAAGGAGGGAGAGATGATTATCATGGATGGAGAAAAAGTCAAGGAAGGAGAAGAAGTCATGGACGGAGAAGATGTTATGGAAGGAGAAGATGGTTTGGATGGAGAAGAAGTTAGGGAAGGAGAAGAAGTTAGGGAAAGAGAGGAAGTTAAAGAAGGAGAAGAAGTTAAGGATGGAGAAGAAGTTTGGGATGGAGAAGAAGTTTGGAATGAAGAAGAAATCAAGGAGGAAGAAGAAGCTAACGAAGGAGAAGAAGTTTGGACAAAACAGGTCGAGACCACCGTCCCAGAGTTGGGACGACCGTCCCAACTATCCTAGGACAAGTGAGACGCACGTCCCAAATGTGGGACGGCCGTCCCAAGTCCCAGGGGGGTTGACTCTATGTTAAAAATGCAAGTGGGATGGCCGTCCCACCCCAGACGGCCGTCCCGGCCCAGACGGCCGTCCCAAGTGTGCCAGGCAGCAAAAACTATAAATAGGAGGCTCATTTGCTCATTTTCCACACCCCAAACAACTCAGAGCACTTGTCTACTTCTCTCCCTCTTTCGAATGATCTTTCTGATTGCCTTATATAGGTAACAATCAGTTAAGGAATTAGATTCCGGCATTCGATTCTTCTAGAAAATTTTTAGTCGAGTCAAGTTTTGTCGTGAGGAGAGTCGTTGTAGAACGAGGGACTGCCGAAACGCGTCCTTATTGTAACAGAGTTGCTATATAAAGCTTGCTACGGAGGTTCTTCTCAAATCTCTTCTCTTTTATTGCTTTATTTACTGCTTTATATATGAAATGTAAATAAAATCATGTAGCTAGCCATATTTATATGTTGTACGAATAAAATAGGGTAATAGCATAATTTATTGTAATCTTCACTTAAATGAATCAATCTGTCATAGGGAACCCGAAAGGGGCGTTGTGGGGTGCTAATACCTTCCCCACACGTAACTAACTCCCTTACCCAACTCTGGTTATAATGGCCAAGTGCGGTTTTTTTAAAATAAACATCTTTCTCCTTTTCCAATGTTTAAGGTCAAAACATTGGTGGCGACTCCAGAAGAACCCCTTTTTCGAAAACCTTGCTTCTATTAGAGGATAGTTCAGTTGTTGAGCACCTCGGAAGCAATGAACATATTTTAAACATAAAACGCGAGTCTAAACCATCTTTTCGCGACCGCTCGCATTAAACGTTCGAGATGTCCCTAGACGTCGGAATGGACGGCGGCGACAAGGATAAAGAAGAAATTATGGATGGGGAAGAAGTTAAGGAGGGAGAGATGATTATCATGGATGGAGAAGACGTCAAGGAAGGAGAAGAAGTCATGGACGGAGAAGATGTTATGGAAGGAGAAGAAGGTTTGGATGGAGAAGAAGTTAGGGAAGGAGAAGAAGTTAGGGCAAGAGAGGAAGTTAAAGAAGGAGAAGAAGTTAAGGATGGAGAAAAGTTTGGGATGGAGAAGAAATCAAGGAGGAAGAAGAAACTAAGGAAGGAGAAGAAGTTATGGATGGAGTGTAAGTTAAGGATGGAGAAGAAATTTGGGATGTAGATGAAGTTAAGGAAGGAGAAGAAGAAGTTAAGGATGGAGAAGAAGTTAGGGAAGGAGAAGAAGTTAAGGATGGGTGTCGCCGCCGTCCGTTCTGACGTCTAGGGACATCTCGAACGTCTATGCGAGCAGTCGCGAAAAGATGGTTTAGATTGCGTTTTTGTGTTAAAACATGTTCATTGCTTCCGAGGTGCTCAACAACTGAACTATCCTCTAATAAAAGCAAGGTTTTCGAAAAGGGGTTCTTTTGGAGTCGCCACCAATGTTTTGACCGTAAACATTGGAAAAGGATAAAAAGGCGTTGATTTTAATAAAAACCAAACTTGGTCATTATAACCAGAGTTAGGTAAGGGAGTTAGTTACATGTGGGGAAGGTGTTAGCACCCCACAACGCCCCTTTCGGGTTCCCTATGACGGATTCATTCATTAAGTGAAGATTACGAGAAATTATGCTATTACCCTATTTTATTCATACAGTTTTTAAAAATGGCTATCTACGTGATTTTATTTTACATTGCATACAGAAAGCAATAAATAAAGTAATAAAAGAGAAGAGAATTGAAAAGAACCTCCGTAGCAAGCTTTGTATTGCAAATCTTTTACAGTGAGGATGTGTTTTGGCAATCCCCCGCTCTACAAAGACTCTCCTCCCCGAATACAGTATCGACTCGACTAAATTTTAAAGAAGAATCGAATGTTGGAATACAATTCCTTAACCGATTGTTACCTTTTTAAGGCAATCGGAGAGTTCATTCGAAGTAGGGAGAGAAGACAAGTACTAGGAGTTGTCTGGAGTGTGAAAAAGTGGCAAATGAGCCTCCTATTTATAGTTTTCGCGGCCTGGCAGCTTGGGACGGCCGTCCGGGGCTTGGAAATCAAGGATGGGCGTTTGGAGAAGTTGGGACGGCCGTCTGGGATTTGGGACGGCCGTCCCATTCAAATTTGGGACCTGAGACGTGCGTCTCAACTTTGGGACGGGCGTCCCACATGGCAGGGGCAGCTTGGGACAGCCGTCTCACATTTGGGATGGCCGTCTCAACTTGTTTTGGCCAGCTTTTGTATTCTGGGACCCCCAGGAAGCTTTCCTTTCTTGATTCGGACGTCGATTGATGCCGATAAACATCCATTGAAGCTTTATCTTCATATAGGAAGTCTTCTTGACCTTTATTGAGATGCCGGGCGAGCTTTATCTTGTTATAGGAAGTCTCCTTTGCCTTTATTGAGAGGCCGGGCAAAATTAGGGGTCTACAGCTGCCCCCCCTTCACCTGCCTGACTAATTGTTGGCCTAATGTGCCGACAAAATTAGTTGGTAGGGGAAGGAGTTAACCCTTTTTGCCCGGTTGACCTTCAGATGCTCCTTCGTTTGAAGTTTGCTGGTCCTCCAGACGATAAATATTTTTGATAGGTACCAACCCCTATCTGGTTTGGGCCTTCTTTTGTAAGGCTTTGGTGAGTACTTACCCTCACCAGGTATGAGTTTGTATTTCACTAGACTCTTGTGGGTACCTACCCCCACTTGGTATGAACGTTGTTCTGCAAGGCTTTGGTGAGTACCTACCCTCACCTGGTACGAGTTCGCATTTTGCTAAACTCTTGTGGGTACTTACTTCCGAGGTGCTCAACACTGAACTATCCTCTAATAGAAGCAAGGTCTTTGCAACCCGTTTTTGCAATGCTCTGCTGAGTATTTTACTCTACCTGATGCATTTTGCTTGGTTTTGATGAGTACCTACCATCATCCGGTACAAACCTTATTTTATAAGGCTCTGGTGGGTACCTACCCCCACCTGGTACGAATCTGCATTTTTGCTAGATTCTGATGAGTATCTACCCTCATCCGGTATAAACCTTATTTTATAAGGCTCTGGTGGGTACCTACCCCCACCTGATACGAATCTGCATTTTTGCTAGATTCTGATGAGTACCTACCCTCATCCGGTACAAACCTTATTTTATAAGGCTCTGGTGGGTACCTACCCCCACCTGGTACGAATCTGCATTTTTGCTAGATTCTGATGAGTACCTACCCTCATCCGGTAGAAACCTTATTTTATAAGGCTCTGGTGGGTACCTACCCCCACCTGGTACGAATCTGCATTTTTTGCTAGATTCTGATGAGTACCTACCCTCATCCGGTACAAACCTTATTTTATAAGGTTCTGGTGGGTACCTACCCCCACCTGGTACGAATCTGCATTTTTGCTAGATTCTAATGAGTACCTACCCTCATCCGGTATAAACCTTATTTTATAAGGCTATGGTGGGTACCTACCCCCACCTGGTACGAACCCCGTTCTGCAAGGCTCTGATGAGTACCTACCCTCATCCAGTATAAACCTTATTTTATAAGGCTCTGGTGGGTACCTACCCCCACCTGGTACGAACCCCGTTCTGCAAGGCTCTTATGGGTACCTACCCCCACCCGGTACGAACCCCGTTCCGCAAGGCTCCGATGGGTACCTACCCTCACCCGGTACGAACCCCGTTACGCAAGGCTCGATGGGTACCTACCCCCACCTGGTACGAACCCCGTTCCGTAAGGCTCGATGGGTACCTACCGCACCTAGTACGAACCCCGTTCCGCAAGGCTCTTGTGGGTACCTACCCCCACCCGGTACGAACCCCGTTCCGCAAGGCTCGATGGGTACCTACCCCCACCTGGTATGAACCCCGTTCTGCAAGGCTCTTGTGGGTACCTACCCCCACCCGGTACGAACCCCGTTCCGCAAGGCTCTTGTGGGTACCTACCCCCACCTGGTACGAACCCCGTTCTACAAGGCTCTTGTGGGTACCTACCCCCACCTGGTACGAACCCCGTTCTGCAAGGCTCTTGTGAGTACCTACCCCCACCTGGTACGAACCTTGTTCTGCCAGGTTCTGAACAAGCCCCGTTCTGCAAGGCTCTTAGGATGCACTTTTTGATAGCCAATCCTATGGTCATCTGGTTTTGGAGATGTGTTGGCGGCTTATTGTTTCTGATCGTGCGCCCATTCCGTGGGGAGTAATTGATTTGACTTTTCTGTTTTAGTCATCCGGTTTTACCGGGGATTTCGTTGTTTTTGGCTTTTTCGTTTAGCCATCCGTCTTTGCCGGGGATTTTTTGTTTTTGGCTTTTCTTTTTAGCCATCCGGTCTTGCCGGGGATGATTTGTTTTTGGCTTTTTTCTTTTTAGCCATCCGGTCTTGCCGGGGATGATTTGTTTTTGGCTTTTCTGTTTAGCCGTCCGGTCTTGCCGGGGATTCTTTGTTGGTTGCCTCTTGTTTTAGGCAGGAATCTCCTAGGGATTTGTAGTTTTGGGCTTTTCTATTTAGCAGTCTGGTCTTTGCCGGGGTTTATTGATGATTGCCTCTTAATTTAGGCAGGAATCCATTGCGGATTTTTGGTTTTTGTTGATTGTGCCTCTTGATTAGGCAGATGCTTCAGCAGTGGTGAAGACTTTTATGCTTTGGGCTTATATTGCCTCTTGCATAGGTTGATTTCCCGTTTCTTGGGGATATTGGCTCTTTGCTTGCCTTTGAGTAGGCAGAGGCTTTTCTTGGGAGTGAAGGCTTTGCACTTCGCTGGGGATATCCATATTGGTTGTTATAGGCGATTAACTCCCTGAGGATATGAATTTGTAGTTTGCCTCTGTTGTAGGCTCACTGGGGGATAATTTTTCTTTTTGGTGATTTGCCGGGGATTTTGATTGTTTTCCCGAAGATCTATTTTGACTTGCCCCCTAGGGAGGAATGGAGTTTTTGACTCCTTATTGGATGCTGTTGTTTGAGTTGGCTTTGCCTATGCTCTTATTCCGCTGGGGAATGGATTTTTACCTTTTTCTCGCGATTTTATCTCTTTTTCGCGATTTTGAAGATTTGGCTTTTTTTTTTTTAAATGTGTGCGCCTTTTTAATTTCTTTTATGCACACTGGCTTTTTTGTTATCTGTTGGATGAAAAGATTTCTTTTTTCTCTTTTCTTTTTGGCGATCCCGGGGAGTTTATTGGCTTCCTGGGGATCCAATCTTTGATTTGATTTTTTTACGATGGAGTCTTGGCTCCTGACTTTTGTGAAGCTCTTTATTGAGCGGGATGAAGAGTTTTTCTTCTTTTTCTTTTTTAGATTCACCGAGGAGTTTGTCGGCTTCCTGGTGATCCAACTTTGATGATGGAGTCTTGGCTCCTAGCTTTGCGAAGCTCTTATTTGAGCTGGAAGATGGAAATTTTCTTGTTTTCCTCTTTTCGTAGACTTTTCTGAAATGCTCTACTTGGAGATTTTTATTCGGCCTTTTTTGTGGCCTCTTATTGGGGAATGAAAGGTTTTTCTTTTCTTTCTTTTTGTTGGACCCCTAAGGATATGGAGATCTTGACTCAATATCTTCTTTGGTTGATCTTTATGTAGTCCTTATTCTCCTTTGGGGAATGAGGCATATATTTTGGATGAGTGTGTTCGATGACTCATGTGGTGATGCAGTTGAGTCGTGAGGTAATCTTTTGTCTTACCTCTGGAGTAGACAAGGATCCGCTTGGGGATGATCAAGCCTTTCCGTTGGCTTTTTCATATTGATGACTTCCTTTTCCTTAGATGGAAGGATGTTGATTGAAGCTTCAACTGACTCTTTTTTGATGACTCATGTGGTGGTGCTGAGTCATGAAGTAATTTTTGTTTTGCCTTTGGAGTAGGCAAGGATCCGCTTGGGGATGATCGAGCCTTTCCGTTGGCTTTTCTATGTTGATGTCTTCCTTCTTTTATTGGTGTAGAAGGTTGGAGCTAGTTTCCTTGAAGCTCTTTATTCTGCTTAAATGATTTTGATTTTGCCTTTTTCTTTCGTGATTCTAATTTTTATCGCAATTTATTCGAAATCTGGCTTTTTAATATATCACGTGTGCCTTTTTACTTTATAATTTTTTGTACACGTGGGCTTTTTGAAATGTAAACAGAAATAACAACTTTTATTTATTACTTTTTTTTTTCTTGGTGATACATTCAAGTATTTTTAAACTACTAGAAAATATCTAAAGATCT